ATGACTCTCGTATTTTTTTTTTGTATAGAGGACGAGTTGCACATCTGGAACGGGTTATACCTTCTTTCTGTGAAAAACAGGGAAACTACTAAAAGAAAAGTTGTATTCCATCGCGTAGTCTAACTTTCCATGACCCTATTTTATTCCCAGGTACGACGACGCATCTCCAAAGTGCAGCTGCACACACACTCTCTCTCTCTTTTTTTTTAAATGCATCTCCATATAAGTTTTGCCCCAAGGAAAGAATACTTTAAGAGATATCTAAAATTATTTTAAAGTTCTTTTTTTACTGGAATCATATTATATACGTAAATAACTAAGACAGTTTATATATTAAAAACATATAATCAGTAATGAACAATATACTGAGTCTACTCTTGGTAGAATAACAAGATATAAATTGCCTTTAAATTACTCTATAAATTAAGAATAAATTACTTACAATAAATTTAACGTTATACTTTAAAAGAATAAATTACTGAAGGTTTAAAATTTCAATGCAAGTTAGATTATCTTGTAAAATATTCATTTTAACAACTGTATACTCGATCCATGTTTTAATCAAAATCAATTTCTCATCGAAAAACATGTTACTAAAAACCTTCAGCTCTTTGTATCACGAGGAATTAATTTATTTAACAGGAGTCAATCTTTCTTTCTATTTTCAAGCACAAAAGAGGTACAACCAGTTTTAATTACGTAACTCCTCCCATACGTATATTGTTTTGAGGTAGAAAGATTGGAATCCATTGGGGTCATCCTCGTGGAATAATCTTGTACGGGAAACGTTCACTTTTAATTGCTTCTCGATCCCCGCTGATTGAGACGAAACGCGAGGTTTTCGTGGCTCGTTCTTAACGTCTTATAGCTCATTACGGTTCCCGTCTTTTTCTCCTGTCGTTAATGACTCTGCTTCATTGGTAGGCGTTAATGAAGAACGTTACAACGAAAGCTTCGGCACGTAGAATGAAGTACAGTGCACAGACACTTACTCTTCTTCGCGAACAATCAACTAATTATCATCTAAGTTTCATGCGTGTTTATTCATTATTCGTTCGATATTATTTCTACTTTACTTTAACGTTATCGTGATTATTCTCTAAGTACCTCATTGTCCATTGATTTAACTACACATACTTACATATATTCGCTACGTACTAGAGCCCAAATGCAAACGTTTTTTTGATTTTATGATCGAATCATCCGGTTGTTCGGAAACGTAAGCATGAACGTAAGATTCTCTTTATACATATATGAGCACTGAAACGAGGGATGATTGCGTACAAGTCTTAGACCATTCGTTATAAACTGTTGGTTTTCTCATATGTTCTCAATATAGCTTCAGTATTTTTACTTTCAGTGACCATTCAACACCACGATTGTATTTAATGTTCTTACAAAAACCTGAATTGACATATTTTTACATAGTTTTTCTACAATAACCTTATATTTGGAACATCCCACGAATTTCAAATAATTTGTGAAAATAATAAACTATCAACAATTATTGCTTTAATAATACTTACAATAGCGCTTTACATTTTGGAAGACATCTCATAAATAAATAAAACACATGAAATGAAAAATATACGTTTGAAGGATTCTAAAACAAAGACGTGGTTTAGGAAAGATTAAGTAGTCATTATTGTGGGTAATTTATACGCATGTGTAAATGTGACGGTGAATAAGAGGGCAAGCATTTCGACAAAATTGATATCTTGCATTTTACACATTATTTAATAATAACGCTGTTTAATATACTGAAAGGGAAATTGCAGCGCATATTTATCGCGTTGTATTATTGAATATACGAGTTCAACGGACTGCAACTCACGAAAGTGTTTCTACACATGCGATCAACATACGTTAAAATAAACTTTTCATATCAAAATGGCCTAAGACTTCAAGAAAAATATTACATATCAGTGCAATGCACGTGTTATTTTTGGAACTTCCGTTTCACTTTTGTGGAAAATTTGACATGTAGACATGTTACACATTATTTCTACATATCTCTTTCAGTTTTCAGTTAATAGTGATTCTTCACGTGTTCTTACTATTATATATTATGTCCATGTGTCTTGAAGAAATCGAAATCGAGAACGTAAATACTATTATAACGCATACAATTCTTCATCATAAGATTTCATAACTTCTTTTAAAATTGTTTTTAATTAAACGTAAATAATTTTCTCTGAAGCCTTTTAGTTACATAAAACGAAGCTATCGGTTGTGTAACAAAGATTTTTATACGGAATAGGAAGAACAATCGATAATACTTCACGGCGGCCTTAGAGTAGTGAGAGTAACGGAAATGTATGTACAAGATGACTATGGCCATTGGCAGTGAACATTGAAGAATATAAACAACGCTAAATCGATTAAACAAATTTGCTAATTTCGTGTGTCATTACGATGAAATTGTATTCTGATTTTTCTCTGGAGTTATAATCAAATATTGCACACTTATTAAAAATCAGAATAAGTATAGAAGTTATGGTAATTTGTAAACAAAGCAATTTCGTACGGGTGTATTGAATACTTTCTGGAGAGCTACATGTCGAATGAGCAGTTATATACATGTATAAATAAATTGCATACCACGTATTTTCATAATTGATAGGTACAATAGCCGCTGTGGAATTATTAACATTCATAATTGAAATTTAGTGTTGTGTAACCAGTAATTAATGTCTGTTATGTGAAACTGATACACTGTCTAGTGTTATATAAATATTTGAAAAGTTGCAAATAATATTAAATTTCATTGACTGCAAATACATCGGAAATATTATAAAACTCGATAGTTTATAACATACATTATATTTTTTTCCTATAATGACATAGTTCCATGCAATAGTTGTAAATTTTTCTCGTTTTTAAGCCATTGAAAACTATACCCCCGTTGCTAATCTGATACACGAAAAAAAAAACATTTTAAAAAAGCTTTCGTTCATTGATCAACGATTGTATCAGAAACGTCGATTAATAGTATAAAACTATACGCTGTTACTAAAATCAGTTTAGAGACACTATTTCACCCTCCTCTGTTAGTGTCTTCAAAAATATATCTTTAAAAAGCATGTTCAGTCAGAATGGTAAAAGTTTACCTCATTAAATTGTTCAAAACGTACGAAAATGTGTTCCAATCATTTCTTACGAAAGAAATATTAATAAGAGATTAATATATAAATATAAACAAAGTGTGGCGACAATGATAGCATAACCGTAAATATGGCGGATTCTTGTGGAGAAATCAATCGGAGACGTCGAATAAAGTAGTTTTACGATTGTTTTGTAGGTTAATGATTTTTAATCGATCTCTGGCTATACTATAACTGTATTAAAACTTTAGTTTGAACTGATTCGGTAATAACCCCTTTCTAGAGATAGATGTAACTATAAACAATCAATATGAAACTCGATTTTTGTACAATAAATTCTCAAGATTGATTTACTTTCCAACAAAGTGTTTTACCTTAATCGCGATTCTGTTATTATTGTCACCACAGCTTGTATATAATTATAAAAAACTAAAATATCTCGGTATTTCCTTTATTTATTATGGTAATTGACTTACACAGGATGCAACGTTAACTCTTTCAGAAAGAATCTTTCAAAAATGTAATATTGGTATTAATGAAACTTTCTTCCAATTTTAACTGCAGTGAAAGTCGTATAGTAAACGCAAAGAAACTTTTTTATATGAGACAGGAATTTCCTGAAAGAGTTAACGCAGAATCTTTAGTATTAACAATCCTCTGTTTTTCCGATTATTTACGATAGCCAAGAAGGTAGTTAACGAAACGAGGTTTCAATACCTGAATGAGTGACCTTGTTATAGGCATTTATCGTTAACACGATATTAAATTAAAGACTGTATAAATATATAGGATTGTAAACTATATTCACGAAGCGCGGTTCATTAATCATAACGTTAGACACTTTTTTTTATATACAATTTCGTTCCTTTCAAATGTGTAAGTACACGCAATTATCGGGTCAGGTTACGTTTCTCGCCCTCTGTATTTTCTGAATCTGGAACCATCGGATTATCAACTCGTTTACTTTATGAATACTTACTTAAACGATCAAATGCTAAATATTTTCGAAGAGACGAGTAGCTGTCTCGTAGAGTTTGTTCAGCCGCAGCACGAAGAATTCTGTATTCCGTTTGCAAAGTAATTGGTAATTCATGAGAGTTATATAATTCACAAGGACAGCGCCAAACGAAACAGAATAGGAGAAAAAAAGGCCTAGTGTACGAGTAGGCCACTCCAAGGCAGTGCGTGCACGGATAACGAAATCCTTGGTAGGTCTTCGAGGCGAGTAGTTCCAATCTGGTTCGTTGCTCGTAAATAAACATTTCCCCTTTGTACGAAGCATAAACATCAATTTATACCGAAAACTTGCGCAAAAGTGCACCGTATGATCGACTAGTGAAATTAATACGAAAGAAGCCCTCAAGTCCCTAAGGTTGGCTCAAAACGTAGTGATGTTTGTCGATGTCTTGGAACGTTTCACGTTTTTGCCTTCCTCCCGAACAATCCTCTCCATCGAAACTGGGAGAATGTATATTTTAAACCGACACTTAAAGTGTAATACGTTCCCTCGTCACGTGAAATTTCATATCTCGAAACGATTATCGGCGCCGATTATTCCTACAGTACGCACGGTTACCTAAACCTAATCATACGTATGTATGTGTTTCTATGCGGTGCGTGCGTCCCTGCACAGAAGTTAATAAATATTCATACATATACATTATATACAACCGTGAATGGCGATCTAACACTATATCAATGCATCCTATTCCCTATGTACATAAAGCGCGCGCGATACTAAACTCCTCTGTGTCTCGTATCGCCAACTGTTTACTACGTTATTGTCCAGTTTCACCAGAAGCATGGCGTCGTGAATATATAATTCGATATTAACTATGGAAGGCCTTCTTCTTCATTTCAACATTCGTTCCCGAAAATTATCTCCGTTCTTCTTACTTACGTCATGTGCAAATCACCTTTCAATATTCTCGTGAAAGTTTTCTTGAACTGTTGATTGGCTAGAGCGTAGCAGAACGGGTTCATGGGGCTGTTCGCGTAGCAGAGAAAATACGAGAACATGAACAGGTGTCCATTTGTGCACGGTGGGTTCGAACAGAACCCTTCCACCAGCGCCAGAATGTGATAGGGTGTCCAACAAGCGACGAACGCACCCAGAATAAAAGATATCGTTCTGAACGCTTTTCTTGCTCTGTTCTCCGTTCGTGATTTCTGTCGACCAATCAGATGATCCCTTCTCTGCGTTTTACTCTTCAAACGTTTACCAATTGACTTCACGAAGTCCTTCCTAGAGCCGCCGTCTTTGCTCTCGCGTGTATCCTTCTTCTTCGATTGTTTCTTGGTGTCCTGTTCGTTCGCCGTTGTCCCGGAAAACGTGGGCACCATACTACCGCTAGAGGATGAGTTTTGTGGAGGATTGGCTACCTTAGCGATGTGATCTGAAAATTGATCTGTTGCAACGTTGAACTCTTCTACCACGGGCACGTTGACAACCGTGGTAATCGGTTGTTGCTTGGCGTCCTGCGCTTTCACAGTGACCTCCGTTTGCACTTTGCTGACAGTCGGCGATGTCTGAGACGCTGCGTTCGTTTTGTGCGTGATGAACACGCGAGGCGGATGCGTTTGACTGGAGGCGTTCGACATCACCGGTAGAGGTTGCGTCTGTTTGCCCTGAGTATCCACCGATTGTTGATTAGTCGCCTGTTGCGCTGTGGATCTGATTAGGGCAGCTTGCAGCAAAGTGGTATTCGGCGTGGAAGCAATGTTATCTAAAATCGGCGACGAGGGTGTCGTTGACAATGGATTCGCCAGACTGCATGAGAAAGAAGACGGTGGACTCTCGTAAGGGGTACTGGGCACGATCACCGAGCTTTCGTCCATGAACTGCAAGTCAGCCCCATCCAAAACAGTCAGAATATCGAAAGTGCCCGGGCCATGAGTAGTTGTCCATGTATCTGTTGACTCGATAGGCTGTTGCTTGTCGACGCCATCCCCATTCGACTGGACCGACTGTTCAGGTGTTAGGGTATGGCTACTGGATTTAACCGTGTCGCAGGATGGACTGGTGGGCAGAATTTTCCTAGGCACCGGCACGTTCAATTCCGCTTTTACGGGAACGTTCCCATTCAAGCGACCGTTCGTCACGAAAACTTGAAGAGCACCGGATTGAGCAACCAGGTCCGCGACAGAGGATCGTTTTTTAATGTTGCTGAGATGCTGACCCTGACAGAAAGTGCTTTCCTCGTCGGAATCGAACGCTGGGCTACTGGAACGTTCAGACTTTTCAGTTTCTGTTGGCGCCGTGCTCACGCCAGTTTGTTTTCCCCCGGAATCGGTCGCGCCAGTTCCCGATGTCTTCGAGGATGTCTTTTGTCCTGATCCGTCAGCTTCTCCAGCATTCTCCGCGGATGCGCCTACTTTCTGTTTATCCTGACTCAAAAGAGTACTCTGGGTTTTCGACATCCCTATACCGGCTGCCATGCCAGACATCGCGCCAGCGCTGAGAGCGACCATCGACTGCATCTTTCGCTGTTTGGCCTCGCTCTTCTTTTGCATATCGTACGCCGTCTTGTATATACAACCGTACAGAATGAATAAAACAACAAGCGTTGTCCAGTAATATCCTATTATTAGAGCAGTGTTGAAAACAGGATCCGTTAGAAATTGTACGACGCACTGGCCGGGGATCGAGTCTCTGCGACCGGTGAAGTATTCCCAGCCGAAAATGCTGATGAAGAACAGCAGAGCTGGAATGATCCAAGTGATCGTGACCATCCAGATCACACGGTTCTTCGTCCGCCAGCTACGATATTGAGCAGCTATCTTCACCGAACAGAACCGATCGATGGTGATCAGTAACACTGTGTATTGAGACACCAGACACACGGTGTAGTCTACGGATAGCCATAGATCGCAGAGCAGAGATCCGAGATTCCAGCGTCCCATTAGCACGTATACCGTGTAGAATGGCATCGACACGGTACCTGTTCAACAATTGTATCACGCATAAGTCTATTTAAGTCGAAATCTGGTATCATGTTCTGTGTACGAAATTTCTGGGTTAATTTAAATGGAAATTGAGAAAACAATACGGTGGCAATGAGGAGGCAATATTTAGAGGTTATTCCCATTCGGAATGTTAAATTTAGGATTGTTTTAAAGAAAATTATATGTACTTATGAATTTATATCTTAAGAATTCCTTGATCTTAAGAACCATGAGGTGTACTGTAATTATGAAAAATTGATTGGATTTTAATATAATTTTGTGTAATTAATGTGTTTGAAGTGTACAAAATTTCCATGGACATAGTTATTTCTAATTTAATAACGTATGAAAATAGGCAAATGGAAAGTTAAACAGAGATGTTTGAAGAAAGTACACTGGTGGTCAGAAGACTGCTTAAATAACGACTCTTTTTATTTTTCTAATTTCTATACTTCTCATTAGAGACTGTAGTCTCGTAAATGTATCATGATAATGACAAGATAATCTTAATATATTTATTATATTCATATTATTATCTTGAAAAAGGTTATAAATTCACGTTTGTTTTCTTAAAACAATTTACCAATGGAAAAATGATTTCGCATCTAACAGGGTTTTCTAAAAGGGAATACATATTTGAAAATATCAATTTCAAACTTTCTTCTGACTGCTATATATTTTCAAACATCTCCATCCGGCATTCCAGTAATTCTTAAACTAACAGATTATTAAAAACTGCAAAAAACTGGGGACACTTACCAATAAGCATATCGGTGGCTGCTAATGATGCGATGAAGTAGTTACTCGGCTGTCTGATAGTCCTATCTACGATAAACGCCAGAAGAACGAGAATGTTACCGCCGACAGTTAACAGTATACATAATGCAATGCAGACAGCAATCAGTATCGTTTGCCAGAGTTATTTCTTTTACAAATCAATGGAAACATTTATTTCTTCTAATATTAATACCTTACCAATGTGTTCGTCGTGGAAAATATAAAGTTGACTTTAAATTAAAATGTTAGTCTCTATTTGTAAATTATCGAATTTTTCAATGGGACATGTTTAAACTTCGATGATACTATTCGAGGAAAAATTCAATAGAATTACCAGTCGATAAAGCTGTTGTGGTGCCTGTTATCGAGCAACAGTTGGTGTTATTTGTCGGGAACAGGTCTGACAGAAGTTCCACATATTCTCCGCTGCTCCAGCGTGGATCATCCGGGTCAGGCCATGTTCCATTAAACTGGGTGCATTCCGTTAAAACCTGGTTGTACATACGACAAAGACGTTCTCGTTGTCTCTCGCGTTTCCTGTAACAATATTTTACTTCATTTTTCCTTTGCATTTCACGGGTTCAATAAAATATGTCTGTAAAATGAATGAAATATTTCAGCGGAAACTGGAATTTCAATAGATTTAACGCACATTACAACAACTTTATCGCTAATAACGCTCGAGTGTTCGTTTATACTCGTTAAAACGAAGCACGAAACATTTGCTGCATAAATATTATTCATAATGCACTTGTCATGTCATAGGACATCGGTGATAAACATCATCGATTTCTTGTCAAACTCCGTAGATTACTTTAAATTGTCCTTCTTAACTCATGTCATGGAAACAAAGAAAGAAAAGCAGTTCGTAAAATACGAAAAAGAGGAACATTGCGATAATATTAAAATTTCTCATTGAAGAATGTAATCAATACTATACCACTCGAAAATCGCGTGATTTATGAAATCACTTCGTATGTTGTTATTTCTTCCTACTTTTACAATCTGTGATAACATTCTGACAAATGTAGATTGCAAAATTGAAGTTGCAGAGTGTAAAAAATATACACCATAAATGTCCCATAATTTGGTAAACTGGGGATATTAAAGAAATAGAAAACAACGAATGTGATAAGTCCCTCTCCGGCTTCTTCAGGAATGTGTTCGTTAGCGTCAAAGAAAATGTGACACTAGTATTTCCTGATTTTAGCTAGTGACACGTATGCCTCTTGCTTTCTATGAAACATTGCTCCAGTGGCAACACGAGAAGCAAGTCAAAGGCTGAATGCGCCCGACGCACAATGAGCTTGAAATAAGCATGAATGGAACCACATCCATTTCCCGCTTGCGCGTCCCCGTCGCCGGCAGGGAAGAAACGACCGCCCTGTACCTTAAAGAGAGTGACTCGTTTTTAAATAATTCAGTCAGTCGATCGTGACTCCTCCGGGTTAAACGTACCGTCGTGCTTCACATTTCCTGCCCTCTTGCACATGCACCATAGGATTACCATTACTCGTACACGATTTATAGAACGATCCTCTAAATTCTGCTTTCGGTATTGTTCAAATGAAAGGATAACTGCTTGTATGGTCCTCCAAGATTAATAATGATTTTAACACTAGTGGAAGAAGTGTGTTTTCTTCACAAAAATTTGTAACAAGAGCAACTTTTGTCAACAAAGATCTTGTTACAGTAAAACTTCGCGTTTATTCCATTATACAGGGTGGGTCAGAAGTCGCTACCCATTGAATGGCAAACTAATACTTTATTGACATTTCAATAGGCATTGATATGGGCAGTAATTTTTGGCCCACCCTGTGTATTAAGGTTGCACCTTTTCTTAACCGACCCTCGTCAATGCTTCATACCTATACCTATCGAGAGGGATAAGTAACTCGGTGTTTCGATTCCGACGTCAAAGATTAGCAAGTCAATGAGGATCGTTCTAAGATTATTAGAACGGCCCGCTACAAGCACAGACAATGAAGCCACGCGAATAAAAGATAGAGAGATGAGATCCATTGTTTCAATGTTCTCGAGGGTAAATACTTGTCCTCGTTATAGCGAGCTTTCTCTTGGTAGCTGCATCACCGTGAAATGATTCGTAAATACTTGACCTCGTTATGGCGACAATTCTTTTTTACGATTTCGCGTCGCGAGTCAAATGATTCGTAATGGAGTGGCCAACTATCTGTAATTAGCTGGAACTTAGGCGTATAGCTGTTACTGCTGAAAGCACGCGTCAGAATAGTGTAGGAATATGAATATGCAAATTAATATACTTTGTAAACCATACTTCGTAAAGATTGACAACAACATAACCAGACGATTTTAAACATCAAAATAACGAAAACAGTAATTCTAATTAAAGAAATTCTAGTGTTAACACGCTAAAAAGTTTCTTAAACCCTTATTAAACGATTGTATACAAATATACATAAGATTTCAGTATTTGATTTTTCATTAAAACCAAATGTTCAACTTATTGTCATTATAAATTCCCCACCGTATAAAAACTGATTTAAATGCAGTTTTATACATTCATAGCCAGCTGCTCGTGGTGCTCGATCATAATTTTAAAAGTACACGTCCCCATTCTAGCGATAAGCTCAATGATATATTTTATATAGAATAAGTTTGATGAAGAAGTAGCTTCAAGTAAAGTACTGGTACTGTAGTTCAAAAGTAATTTATAGCTTTAATTCTACACTCGACCTACTAAAACTACCGATAGAAAAAAATTACACGAATGGTAACCTTTACTTACTGATCGATTTCTTTAATTTGATATGATGAGATTTTTTTATTAACTCCTTAATATATTTTTTATTACTTTTTTTTTACATTAGACTGTACTTATTAATAGATTGATCGATGGAATTGAAGTTATAAAAATTTACTCAGATGCTTAGAGAAGTACGAAGAGCGTGTAAGAGACGAACGTCGAGGCGGAAGGCGAACGGCAAGGGTGGTTCTAGTGTTTCGGACGAGGAGAAGGGTGCCCGATGGATCGCCGCAACTCGTGCATCGAAAACAAGGGTAAAGTGCCCGTTTTGTCTAATGAGTTGTGATGCCTCCTCATCAAGGCCGTTCAACCGTAATCCGAACAGCCGCAGACACCCTCTTGTGAGGGAGGACTCTGAGCTTTCCATTCCTCTGCATTTCAATATCCTCCGAGTGACGGAAAAATGTTCGAAAATCATTCAATGTCGCTAATATAACATTTAAATACGGAAAATCGATAGCGCTTGTAATGAAGCCCGAGGCCCGTCGAGCGTGTCACATCTATAATAATGATATTTATAGAACGTACACGTCGACGAAGTTAGCTTATTGGTTATAAATTGGCACGAAGTCGATTGCGTCACGTGAAATTGTTAAAGCGTGATGCTTTGTTGAATTAGACAAGCGTGATGTGTGTGTATATAGACAACGTTCGATAAATGAACGATTATAGTTTCGTTAATAATAATATAAATGATTTATTAATTTTGTTGGTCAATAACTAAAGAATTTGTGGTATTTGTCCTGAAATTCGAAACTTAAAAATAAAAATTGACAAGAGTGTATTAAGGGAAGCCAAGAAGCGTATTTGTCACGACGAATATGTAGGAAATATTTGCGGTGTAACTACAAGAATGCTAGTCGCTTCAGTGATGACTGCAACAAATATTCAGGGCGCATGAATCAGACAAATTCTTAAAATACATTATTCTTCTTACCTTGACAGAAAGTGAAGATACATTTTGTAGAATTAGTTTGTAGAAGAATACTGAAGTTCAAAAAACGAAGTTTTAAGTGGATTGTCGTTTCAGATCTCGTAATTCTTTAAATTCCAATAAGGTATTATTATTACTTCGGTGTGTTATATAGCATTTGGGTAAACTTTGCAATATAAATAACAGTGTTTACTGCAACGCAGTACATGTAAACATATCTATTGCGCAAGCCTGATATAAAAGTTTACTTAACTTCTCGCCATAAATACCATTATTTTGATGTTGAAATTCTCTTTTAAGTTTCATTATTTAAACTTTCAGTAACATTTATGTTTTTCAAAAATATGTACGTGACCATATATGGTATTTTGGTTTATTTCGAATACCATTCTAGTGTATAAACTGTCTCTCGGAAACATTTTTATCGATTCATAAAAGCTATGTATAGGGGGCACAAAAAATCCAAGTCTTGTTTTGCAAACATCAGACGTCCTCGAAACATTGCAAAAATGTAGGTTTGCAGTGTCTCGACTTCGTTGTCTTTCTGACGCGGAAGGCTCGAATCGAAAGTTCCGCGAAAAGTCACAAAATAAATGTTACATATTTGACACGTAGTGGTACTTCTTTCGATGACACAGCCCCGTAGTTCAATTCAACTGCACATAGTGTACATTTCTGCGCTGAGGATTTACGCGAGAGTCTCTCTTCCGAATGAATGGCACTCACGTGGCAGATATTCAGTTCCTCTTGAATACTTCGCGATGAAAAGAGAATTCAACGAGGAAATGTTTGAGGGAAGCGAAATAGAGGGCAGAGATGTAAGAAGTGACTATTGACAATATGAAAAAATATTGCTTGATTATGGAAGAACATGTAGATTTTCCGGGCCACGAAATAAGCCGGAATAAATTTTAAGGTTAAAAACGGAGCTGCAGTTCCGTTTTCAGGAACGTTTTAATTACCTCCACTTGCGCATCGAAATATTTTCGGCCGGATTTACCTCGTGTGCCATTTAATAATATACACACACTTTATTGAGCACTTTACTGAAAAAATTTTCGTAATAAAATATACGTTTTTAAAACAATACATTTTCAACTTAATGTCAGTTCGATATAATAATAATGTTACAAAACATGGAAGTTATATTTCGAATATGGTTTAGAGAAACGCATATTTTTATTGTTCACATTTCATGTTTCGCTTTTCGCTGCGCCAACCCATTAAGGACCAATGTTCCGTTAATGCAACATTTGAATTGCAATTTTTTCCAGTCAATTTACATGCTTGAATTCTGTTTATTAACGTCCTTAAATTATGAAAAGGAATTCCAGAGATTTGCTTCGTAATTTTTTCGTCACTATTTCTCCTTCCACCTAGGTATGTAATATCGTAAGAAATAAAAAATTTTCTGCGTGAAAACAGTACCCATTCTTTCACAGCTTGGTCTTTAACAGGTTAAAGAAATAATGAAAAGAGATTGAGGGGAACCGCCTCCAAAACCGTACATAATAATACCTGCATACAAACGGGAAATGGATCCCACATACGTGTGTCCATTTCATCGAAAGTTTCGATCATATGAGGACTGGCGATAAGTACAACGCCAGCAGCGGACGATGCTTTGTCCAGATGTAGCATGTGTAACATATCCGTCCTTCGATGGATGTGTGTACGTCTGTCCGGGGAACGGCGAAGGGATAGCTGACACATAAGCCCTGTTGAGCCGCGGATCATCGCCGTGCAATGGCACGATCATACGGGCGGACGGAGGGGGGAAAGATGAGCGAGGGAGGTGAACCGATACGACGACGCGCA